TTTGATATTATTGATGAACTTTTAAAGTTAGTTCTTATTTTTTTAAATCAAAATAAATCGATTATTTATTTATTCTAGTAAATCTCGTTTAATTACAAGAGATGATCTTATTATTGATTGGAAGATACTTTATACATGGATAAAATTAATTCTTTTCAATAATGATGAATCTTATTCATTAATAGCTCTACCCAAGTTTATAATTTAATTTTACATAAAACCATAAATTATTTTGTTTTATTTTTTTAGTGATATTGAAAAATCACTTTTATATTGTGTTCGAAGTTGTCGACCCTATTTTTCAGCAACAGCAACACAAGAAGTCCTGGATGAATTTCGACCATGGTTATGTCCATTTGATTCTGCGTTTAGTGATGCTATGTGTTATTTAGATCTATTATTACCGGTTCATTTGCCACCAGAATTACATAACCAAGGATTTAAGTACGAATAAAATAATAGTTTCAATTCAAATTCTTTCTTTCTTTCTATAGATTATGGTTACCTGAATTTCTAAGTATATGGGAAAGTGTTTGTAATAACCCTGATTGGGAACAGGTTGGTTTGTTCGAAATTTTTAGTTGATTTACTTTTATAATATTTTGTTTAGAATATGATAAATATATTTTCTTTTGTTTCATGGTGTAATATTGGATATGTAGATTGGGAACCTTGGCTTCAGAAAGTATAGTTTTATGATTTTCAATTGAATATATACTTACATTGTTAATTAGATCTTTACACGAATATTGAAAAGTTTTTCACTTCCAGTTGCTAATGTTCAAGTATCTACACAATCACAAAATTATTCTTTATCAATTATTTCAACATGGATTGTTGCAATGATGGGCAATGGAAGTTCATGTTTACAGTATTTAAGAGATTTATTCACTGCAATTAAAAGCTTTTATCATCCATCGAATACAGGAGATTTTCAACAAGATCTTGTTAGTTTTCTTTCAAAATTATCACAAGCATTTGTTGATCGAGTTCATTTGTTAGTAGATTTAAAATAACAAAAATAAAACATGTATATCTCATTTTAGAGAACGTAAACCTGATCGTATATGGCATTTTAATCCACCTCAGAATTATCGAATTACAGAAACTGATATTACTGATTTTGTTAATTGTGTTAAAGAATGTGTATTTATATCAATTTTTAATAAAGCTCATTTGGAAGAAGCTGCTAAAGCATGCCAATGTTTATCTCAACTTCGACCAGAATTAATCGTACCACCATTAGTCGAATTGTTTGTATTTCTTCAAGATTTTGTCTATCTACTAATTATTAAATTATTTATTTAATTCATTTCTAGACTGTTTTCATCTATCAATAGTATAACTGAACCACATCGATTTACATCTATTATTACTTGTTTAGCCGGTATGACACGGCAAATTGTTCGACAAACTCCAGAATTCTCTCAAGGCCAAACTTATGTTTTACCATTATTAATGGCTGTTCTACCTGGCATCGA